GTTCTAGTACTTTCTATTTATGTTATCGACTAAAAATTTGCTGGAGTACGTAGATAAGTACAATGGTATTGCAATAATATGATGCTCTTAACTTTATGCTGTAGATAGAATGTTTTCAGATCACTTATTAGAAGAAAATTTATATTTTTCAATATTATTTCAACGGAGAGATTAAGTCCAACAAGACAAACAATTTAATAGGACTCAAAAGGGCTTATATAATATGAACACATTTTTTTACATGTCATCGTTATGCCTTCATTAACCAATTTTTTTATGTAGGCCTCCTTCAACCTTTTCCATTTTGACCTGTTTGGACCAATTGCACTCGTTGTTTTTTTTGCATATACATATATGTAACAAATCACAATAGGGTTATACTCGTATGTGTATTTTTTGCATACATTCATAGCATATGTGGACATATTGTATGATTTGAGGATCCATCATTGATAAAACGATTATCTAGCACTTATGTAAGTATTGTTTAGATTGTGTGACGTCGAATTTTACAAGGACGTATGTATATCATAAAATATGACAAATTTTGTGAAATAATAGTAATACTATATCAGTCGAATTGTCTATTTAGACTTCATGTTTTGTGTACCTTGAGTAATGAGAAAGTATCATGAGTTTAATCATTAATTAGTAGCTACTTGTACCCGCCGTGTGGTCCCGGCATAGAATAGGTCACCCCTTCCTTTCCCGCAAGTGTCGTAAGAGTCAAATAAGGGAGGGCGAGGGATGGGCAGCAGTGTCCCTCTTAAAACATCTCTAAAAGTCTTATGTCTGATATTTGTGATGTCTTGCTCTTCAAGATAGGTTTTATTCTAAGTTGAGGGTCGGGCAGTTAGTGTATTTATATGATCCTAAATATTATTATTGTACAGACGTGCTTTATCTTAATAATATAACAAAGTTGTAACTAAACGACGTCTGTACATAAGATATATTCGTATTTAAGAAAAAAGTAATGTGGAGTTGTAATAAGAGCTACAGAAACTAATACAATAATTTTCAGAAATGTAGTCTAGCTCTCTGTCTGTAAACAAACAATTCTGCCAGAACAAACATTAATGGCATCACAAAAAAGTACTGTATCATATTAAATTCGATTTTTTCTGTTGTACCTGTATTCCTAAAGGACTAACTCAAAATAAGGTCTATGTTTTATTTTGATACACAAACTAAAAGTGATCTATTTCATTCGTTTTGTACTTCTGAAAAATGCAGTTATCCATATAGTATTATAAGTAGATTATTTGTTGCAGTGGTATTACTGATAATTTTACTTTGAATTAAGTTAAATTAGTAAGCAGATAATGCGATAAACTGTAAAAGTGTTTACAAACAGTAATATCACAGCAGGTGTGTATTATTTCATGATAAATTGAAATAATAATAAAAAAAAAATGTCTATAATACCCTCTGTAGAACTAGGAGAAATGCAGCACTAACTTGTTTTTTTATAAATATAGGTTTGAACTCGGATGCATAAAATTTATTTCAATTTGTTGTCTGTATTTTTGTTTCCATTAACATAATTAACAAAATAGATTTTTTGACATCATAAACAAATTAAATACTAAAATTTATTAGCAAAGTTTATTTATATGTACATAAAATCTTTAGATGCCAATCAGACTCTATATCGTCAATAAAGTTCTAATAGACTGTAAATTAGTAAAGTCTATTTTACAGGAGAACAAAAAAAACTATCTAAAATTAAAGTATAATATATTTGTGAAAAAAAATAATTAAAAAAAGTATTTTCAATCAACTTATTAAAGAAATATAACGATTTATTAAAATTTCTTTTACTAATATAATATGATAGCGTGACTTCTGTGCTGTTGTTTAAAGATTACTTACAGTTACCTCATGTTTCCAAGACAGAATTGGAAAAATATTATGGTATTAAAAATAGAGCGTGTTAAGCCATATTTAGCACTCGTTTTTAAGTATAAAATACCATTAGTGTTGAAATATTTTTAAATTTTTTAAATGTAAGAGACTATCTAGATAAGTATTTTTTAGTAAGATTCGACTTTACGATTATGATTAATTACTTTTATGATTATCCTAAGTAATATTATAAATCTCAAAACGAGTTGGTTTGTTTGTTATCTATGAAATTTGGTATACACGTACTATATGTGGACAAGGACAAAGGACACAGGCTACTTTTTATCGCAGTTAATGAACATATCCCTCATGTGGACGAAGTCACGAGTAAAAGTTATTTATATTTTAAATGTAAATTCAAGACAATTTTATGAGTCACTTTTGTATGGGATTGTCGATCTTGTTTTCTTGATTTTATTTTTATTATTTTATTTCACAATAATTTAAACACATAAGAAATACCTAAAAAAAAACTGTATATATATATATGGTAAAACTAAGTACACTTAATTTTTTATGACAATATTGATTAATGGTGTAAGTATTGATAAGACACGCATTCCTATTCAAAAGATTATAACAATCATTAACATATTATATTAACGTATTATCAAAGTGATATTACTTAATCTTTATACCTCGGCTTTATACGTTACATGCTGCATGACCTTGCCTTTTTACAGAAAATTGTTAAAGGTGTGATCGCTGGTGAGGGTTTGCTTGACAGGAAATCGTTATGCGTCCCTAAACTAGATATACGAAAATTCAAGGATAAATATTTTTTTGTAGCTCCTCCTCATAGAACCAATTTGGGGTTACATGCGCTTATAACAAGATAGATAATCAATTGTAATAGTATATTAATAAAAAAAAAATCGATATATTTCATGATCAATCACAATCATTTAATATTAAAATATTATCTAAAAGTATTGATTTATTCAAATCCTATATTTTTAGATGTAATTTTTTATATTAACTATTTTTGTGTCAATGTATTATTTTAATGTTGTGCATAATTGATGCAAATATTATATTTAGTTTTTTAATGTATGCATGTTGTCAATGTATGTATTTGTATTATTGATATGTCTAAACAAATAAACAAATGCTCACGATTGTCCTCAGTCTTATAACATAGAAGGTTATGAAATTTGTCAATTAGCATCATTGTTCAATGTTGACTCGGTGTTCGATGATTTTACAATTTATCATTTACCAATAGGCAACTATTCAAAATAATTTGAACCGTGTATAATACTAAGGTAAATACTTAATAAGTACATAGATGTATCTATGTAACATACATACTGAGATTATACAGATAGAGTGTCTTCATATAAATGCTTCGCTAAAAACAGGTCAACTTTTTATCTATGTGTGCATGGATAGGGTTGCCATAATATACATTTATTACTCAGTATACGGGAAATTTTTTATTGTAAAATTATATTTAAAAATAGAAACGATACAAAATTTTTACGAATATATTTGGAAGAACCAGATAAACACTGCCTAATGATTCGTGATTATGCTTATTTTTACCAATTACTTTAGTTTATTATTTTAATTTGTAAGCATCCGAAAGTTTCAAATTCAAATTTAAAAAAATGGATTTGTTTTGGATAATTTTTAATATAATCACTGGTAACACTAATAAAACTGCGTTATTTCGTTTTTTAATAAATATCTGTGATTAAATTTTGACTCATTATGGTATTCGATGCTTTATGACACACTCGTACTTATAAAACTGTTTGTCTTAACTGAGCGATCACACAGTCAAAACTAATAAATCTAAAAAGTCTAGAACTATTAAATCTATATTTTTAACGTAAGCCGTTAAGATAGAAATTTTGTAAATTTTTACTTAAAGGGAAAATAATCAAACAAGTGTTACTTTTTTATAAAATGATCCATTTCTTTACATCATTTATTCATTAATATGAGACACATAAATATACGAATGAATGCCCTTTATTTATTTAATAATTATAACATTTGAAAATGGTAAAGAGATCATTAATGCCTATTAACAACAAACGTCTCTATATATTTTAAAGTACGCAAACATTTGACTTCTATGAATCGTCTCTTGCTATCTTATTATTATAAATTTACTCCTGAAAACTAATGTTTTTCTTTCTTATTTATATTTCTATTGAATTCAGTTCAATGAAAATATAATTAAGAAAAACATTGTTGAAACAGACTATAAATTAATACTGTAAAAGAGAAAAACAGCAACATGCAAAGTATGCCAGAGCGAGATAGAAGCGTGTTTAAAATTCGCCCCAAAGTGAAATTTTACTCCCAAATAAAAATAATTCCAAGTTCAATTTATGTTATTAAAAAAAAAGTCGAGTTCATATTGCGAAGGAGAATGCCGTATTAAAAAAGTATTATTTTGGTTCCTAATTTGAATTTAGAATAGATTGTTAAATAGTTGGCGCGCAATGTAATACGAAAATAATGGCGCGCGCGTAGTAGTATTTTTAAAATTATTTAAAATATATGTACGATCCTTATGATCCTTAATTCCGTATGATCCTTATTCAAGGATCGAAGTTATGTATACATATATATGAAATAAAGCAAGCTGCAACTTAGTGTGGTACGATTTCCTATTCATGTGATTAGAAAATTTTGTCTAAGATTCGGTTTATCAAAAGTTTGAAAATCGGTGACTTTCTTTACTGGGCGAATAATGTAGGTATATAACTATATTATACAATCAATAATCAACAATTTTCTTTCCCTTTATTGCTGTTAATGTGTTTTTGATTTTAACTTTCACTGTACACATAATTATCAAAATTGTTGATTAAATTAAATATTCGGTTATTATTATAGATAGTATATACCCTGTCAGGTCGACCTCCACGTTGTTCTCCCCGGAAAACATCGTGCTGAATTTCAGATGTATTCACAGGATAGGCTAACTGATCTGGCTTTCATCCTCATCTATTATCCGTCACACTGCTGCCTCGCCAGTATATACCGTTAGCGCAGACGGGGTTACCCTTAGATTATCATCCATAAAAAAAGTATATCTGTTCGTTTATGTATTAATTATATTATCTTTGTTTAAGGTAAAAAGATACAAGTATGGCGCAAAATAACAGTAACTCTACAATGGAGATGGGAACCAGTGATCAGGTACGTATCAAAACTTAACTGATAAATGCATAAGAGCATTATACCCTTGTGGTTTACTGCTCCGAATCAAATAGATGTCAGAGTTGGAAACCACGACCGCTACCGACATTACTGACCGACGTATATCAATACTTCGTTATCATAACTATATCTATGAATACAGATCTTAGATATGTTATACTATACATACGAGTATGTATATGGTACAGAAAGTATAGATGTATAGTACAGATTATTTGTTTGTAATATTATCTATTTATTATATTACATTGAAATTGTAATTAGACCTTGTATGTACAGGCATCAGTACTAGTTCAATATGATATTTAGTACGTTTAGATACGCTAAAACGTTTCAGATAGGAAAATAAAACAAGGAAATTCACGTGCAAACAACGACGGACTATAATGATTGTTGCCTTGCTTTAAAATAGTTAGTAATACGGCTTATAAGAACGAGTGAAAATATCTTCAGAATAAAGAATAGCCTAATAAAAATATTATTCGAATCTAATTTTGTTTCAGGATTCCAAATACAGTAAAAGCTCTTTATTCACGCTTCCTTTATTCGTTTTCACTATTTGCAGATTAAAAAATTGCAACCCAATTCCTATATTCGGGGCTAAAGATTTCTGTATTTGCGGGTCTAATTGGTACATAATTATAATTAAAAATAATTAGGTATCCTTTGTAAACTTGTAGGTAAATAGACTAATAAAAAAGTAAAAAAGACTTTATTACAACTACGCCTAAAGTATGTTGTCAAATGCTAATGTTGCTGTATAAGTGCTTTGGCTGTCCATATTCACGGTTTCTGTATTCGCGGCATATTTACGGAACGCATACCCCGCGAATAAGGAGCTTCTACTGTATTTCTTTTTTTATTATAATTATTCACCATCTTCTGCACTAAAAACAGGTCAATGACACTTTAAATTTTTAATGGCCTGTATGTAAATATGTGTAAAAAATAAACTACGACACGTACCGATACTGACACTATTCGAATGTAATCCTGCTTCAGGCATACAAATATTCCTATCTTCCACCATCTGGTGCACTAAAAAGAGTTCATGACCACCATTAACTTTTAATTGTCTGTAATATGTAAATAAACATTCAATCACCGACAACAGTACTAGAAACATTAAATATTTAATCGCTTTTAAAAAGAAGTGTTCCAATTTTTTAGTATTTGGTTTTCAGAAATTATTTATACTAATACTTTTTTTTAATAATTATTATTTATATTTTAAATACACAATCGGAACTTAACGCGATGAATAAACTTTTGCAGGCAAATAGTACCTACATACTTGCTTCTTTATTGCCGATGTTTCAAATTAACTAATTATTATTTATATAGAAATATAAGAAAAGGAACTTTTTTTTTATTGTTTATCTTATTTATTTATTTGAAAATTACTCACCACACTTACAATCTCCCAAAACGTGTAGTGAGCCATAGATTTATTTTAAAAACTTACAAATTTTGTACAACATTTTAAAAATATGTCCATTTTGTCATTAAATATGTCAAGATCTGGCTTATATACATATATAGCAAACAATTGTTACCTGTTGCAAGAGAAATCATGGCGTATCAAAGATGAAATACGGGTATGACCTAAGGGATATTTATACCTGTTTATTTTGTTTCACAAACGTTTATTTTATTGTTCCCAAAATAAACGTTGGAGAAAGTGGGTAAATAGATAAGACCCTTACTCATTTCGTCAGTTACATCGTGACTACAACTCTATGACATAAAACAGCGTCGGAATATCGGCGTGCTCAAATAAGAAAATAATCGTGGCAACCCGTTAATTATCTACAAAGAAAATCTAAAAAGTTGAATGAATAAGGTTCATATTATAATAGAAACCAACAAAATAAATAAGATAAACGTCAATAGCCACCGATAACCTAGCTTGATAGCCCAGAGTACTACGTAGAACATGGAAATAAGAAAAAGAAACCGTTATCTCAATTGATTCTCGATGTCTATGTGATGACTAACAGCTGTAATGTTAGTAGTATTCAGTATCTAAGACAGTCTTGTTTTAACTTGAGAGGGAATGTTATTGTTATATTGATTGTGATTGAACGAAAAGTGGTGTAAGTAAATAATTATGTATCTAATTCGCGTTTCTTTTTTTTTTCAATTAAAAGATATTTGTTTATAAAGTGAATTGTGAAAATCGGCCTTCAATCAATGAAGATATCACGTGAGATTCATACAAAAATAATTTAAGGACCTCATTCTTTTAAAATTGGTATTACGATACTTATTTTTTATATATTTTATAATGAGTTTTTAGGTTCTTTTTTATTTAAATAGTGCAAGTTCTGGTAACATTTTATTTGTGAAGGCGTGATTAAATATATAGTTGTATTTATATATACACTTCTTTTTTGCCAGTTTGATTTTGTTTTTATTTTGTACATATTCAAGTATACGATATTATGTCATTTTTAATAGAGAATATATGTCATAATTAAATTTTAAGTATAATTAGGCAGATTATGATCGATACTGGGTCGGTAGGGGTTTGTAGGAAATCTATAAATCGTTACTAATATAATAAATGGGAAAGCGATTTTATTTGTTTATACATATATAGATTGGTTTGTTATTTATCGGCGTTTTAACGGTTCAACTAATCGTCAAGAAATTTGGCATACACGTATTATATATATGGGATGTAGAAGGATTAACTGTAGATACACAAGCTAAGACCCTCCACTAGATGGAGTGACGATCTGAAATGCATTGCAGCGAGTCAGTGTATGTAGGTGGCTCAGCGCCGTTTCTTATGGCAGTCTATGGGGGAGGCCTATGTCCAGTAGTTGACAAATAATGGCTGAAATGATGATGATGATTCATGTTATTATAGTATTGCTTGGTATGTATAGATATTATAAATGTACATAAGTTAGATAGACTATTTGTTAAATTGATAGGTAAAATGCATATAAGTTCAGTTGCTAATAGAAGTTAATATAGGCAAATTTTTTAAATATTCTTTCATATAAAACGTATAGATTTTAACAAATAAACAAGCAAACGAGTGCATTATTTAAGATATATCTATTTATAATTAATCCCAGTTATAATGATCAAAGAAATTTTAACTGATGGTTACTAAACGTGTAAGTGAAGAACACAAGAGTGAACCGTATCGATTAAAATGAATCATTACAATTTGTCCATAGTTAATAAAGACATCACATTACTTCGTACATACAAAAAATATACTTTAATTGGGTGTCTCCTGTTTTTTTTTTAAGTCAACTTAAAATTATCTTTCAATTTGTATTGTAACCGTCAATAATATTAAAAGAACAAGACCTGCTGAATCTACAATAAGATATTGGAACTTGATACTGAAAATGTCATGATTCCTTATCTAATGCACTTAGTGGTATAACTGTGAATTAGATAATAAAATTCAATCTTACGTAAAATGATAATAATAATGTATCATAGAAATTGACAAGAGATAATGCGATTAGCTACGATTAAGGTAGACTACTGGTCTAAATTGTATAGTACGCTATCAAACCATTTCTTAAATGATCATTCGGAAATAATTCCTACTAAACATTATTAATTTGAAAATAGGTTAGTTGGTTTTTTCGTGTAAGTGCAACCGCTTTAACGACTCAACCTACGATTATGAAATTTGGTATACAAGTACCTCATTTGGTATACAAGTGCTGGTCATGTGGATAAAGTAGCTGGTAATAACTGGAATGTTATAATTAGCTAAGCCTGTGTCTTTGTCCTCGTGAATGGATGAAATGAGCAAGATAAAAAGCAATCTGTCTTTGTTCATGTCATTTATTATATGTGTATATACCAAAATTTACCTGGTTAGGTTATTAAGAAATTAAGAGGTAATAAACAACCGAACATATAAACATACAAATTTATTTTATTTATAACAGTTATATAAAAAATAAACAGCTATAAATTGGAAATAGATTGAAAAATTTACTTTCCGTTAACTCGATCCTATGGGATTTGAAATCAAATCTCTTTGCTATTTGAACTGTGTTTTTAGTTACATGACCTAAAATTGAATATTTAATCACGTAACTAGGTAAATATTTACTACACTGGGTTGGCTGGAAGAGATCTCTTTCAGAGATAAGTCCTCCCTTGCTAACAAGTTGTTAAACTAATTGTCGCATATATTGTTTAAGTGCAATAAAGAATATATATATATATATATATTTAAAATATTTTGAAAAATAAATAGTTATATTTAAATTGTCCTATTATTTATCTACTTTTTTTATACTACTTAGAATGGTAAACAAGCTGACGGCCCACCTGATGGAAAGTGGCAACCGTCGCCTATAGATATGAGCAGTACTATGGACATAACAGAGTATACTGTTTCACCTATGATACTACTCATGCGTTGTCATTCCTGAGGACTCAGGTGTTATTCCTCTGTACCCTGTAAATTCATGCCATATCCCACCCTTCAAACCGAAACACAGCTATACAAACACAACTGCTTCACGGTAGAAACACGAATGGGACACAGGTACCCAAGCAATTATTATTTATTAGTGACTAACGATTAGGCCCAGTTTCGCACGGATGGACAGAATTTTCGATAATAACGTATATATACATATGTTACTCGTCGACAACGTAGTATTCTACAGATGAAAGAATTTTAAAAATCAGTCGAGTATACTCGTACAACAAATAAATTAGAAATATTATAAAATAGAAAAAATATAACAAATAGATTATTTTTTCTTTTATATAATATTAGTATATATATATATATATATATATATATATATATATATATATATATATATATATATATATATATATATATATATATATATATATATACCTAGAAGTTATACACTAGCGATTTACTTCGGCTTCTGAATGCTGAATATGAGATAGTGAATGGATCATTAATTAAAGCATGATTATTTTTTATTGGGTTTTTATTTCTTTAGTGGATATTTGTTTATGTGTAATTTCCACGTGGTTTTGCTTTGCTTCGTTTTAATAATAATAATAAAAATTAGTTTATTCATCTCCACAAATTACAATATATAATAATATTACAATTTACTTTATACAAAATAAAAGTATCGTAATTTGTGGGAGATCTGGAGCCTAAACTAAGTCATAACTTGTATCTTAGACACCAGGTCCCCCCAATAAAGTATTAGTTTTAGTTTTAAGAATCATAAGATCAATTTAATTTTATTTCTATCTTCATTACTTAATACATAAAATAGAAATAAAGGACTATATACCTATTCTTATGTGATTTCTTACTCCAAAATATGGTATTTGCATATTTAATTGTAATATAAACTTAATTTTTAACTGTAATATTTTAATACGCAATCTAAATATATGCATAATATATACAGAATAAGAAAAATAAGTACAAGTTAACCATCAATTAACCGAAGATTATAAGCACTGTTCTTACATTGTAAACAACCTTTTGTATTGACTCTCATTGCATTGTATAATTTTTATAAAATGAAGGTAGTTTCACATGATTTTTTTATTTTTAATTGATTTTAGATAGATTGTGCTCACTAACAGAAGATATTAAGTGTATGTTCATAGTTTTTAATTTCTCATTTATTTGATTTATTTATAAATCTTAAGAGAAAGAAACGTCTTATACCGTAAACCGTATTTTTATACTTAAATTGTAATTATTAAATTCCAGGTCCTGGTTTTTACAAAAAGAAACAAGAGGCTAACGTTCGTATTAGCTATCGTCGCTATGGTGGCCATTATAGGTGTGGTAGTGGCATTAGTTGTAGTCTTCTCAGGCGATAAAGGAGGTGACGCCGAGCCCATCATATCGACGACAGCATCAACACCTACTATTGAGACAACTACCGAAATACCTGACAGTAGTAGTACTGTTAGTACTACCACTACTAGTACAGAACCGCCAGGAGGACCAGAACTAGACTTGGAATCAATTATCGGCGAGGCGTTTTCGCCACCATCGTTTGATGCAACTTGGTCGACAGGTAGCTCAATATTTTTATTTTCTATTGACTATATTCTTTTGTTTTTCCTGCCATGAATATATTAATAATAAAGTATATGCCTGCCATGAATATATATAATTAATTATAAAGTTGCCATTTTGATCTGGAATATAGTTTGTCTATCAGTTAGTACTAAGTCTCATTCAAATTAAATCAGCTCAGCCGTAAAATTGTAATTGAAAAACAAACAATAAATTATTTGTAAATGAATATATGTTAACAAATGTTAGTGGAACATACTCGACTAGTACGTATATTATGCTTTGTTTCTACTGTAATGCTTTAGCTGTTAATCAAAAAAATTGTCAGGCGTTTTTTTTTAATGATAATAATGGTATACGCTGGCGGGGCACCAGTGAGTGATGAAAGGTAAGGATGAAAGCAGGTCAGTTAACTCATCGTGATGAATTCCACTACAATTATCCACGATGGTTCCCAGAGGGAACCGTGTGGAGGTCGACCTGTAATGCTAGCAATGGGTCAGTTAGCCCTTATTACTAGTTAGTTATAATACAGGCGGAGGAAATGTTTAGATATAAAAAGATCCTAATAAAATTAGTACTCAAACTTTATATATTTGCACTCGCACGCACATTAATGGTAGCAGAATTCGATAAGATAATTCATTATCATCATCATAAATCATAAATAGATCCAGCAGAAAAAACTAATCGAGCAGAACGTTGGTATAGGCATCCGGAAGGAGGTGCAGACAGAGAATTCAGTTATTTGAATATTGACCATTCATCTATATATGAATATGTAGCGCAAAAGTTTTTTTTTTTAAATATGTTTTTTTCTACGTAATGGATACGGAGCGTTTGTTTGAATGGCGTATATAAGTTGTTCTGGCTTTAGAACAGATATGATGATGGTTTAGCTCAGTATTTTCATAGTAGAGTACTATTAGTTCAAGCTCAGAGACCGTATCGAGGTCTTAAGTCTAAGGCAAGACTTTGTTTTACCGCTTGTATAACAGACTGTGTTTTGAGATTGTTTAAAATGATGCCCACAGCCACCTATCATCGCATGGCTCGACACACAGACAGTACAAAAGTGCGCCTGCAACTTCTTTTTACTAATGTTTCTGTCACGAAGCAATTCTTATAAAACTGAAGATGTGATAGTGAAATTGAAGAATATCTGCGGAAGTATAAAATCTTAGTCCTCAGAAATAGCAGCCAATGTGTATTGTCAGTGTGCAGGGTAGACATGGCGTCGCAGTATCGTAAATGATATCCCTTATGTTATTCATGTTAGTAGTTAATTTAACCTTTTCTATAAGCAGATCGTCAGCTCATTTGATAATTTATGTTGCATTAACAATACACTAAATATTTTCCTATTTATAATTTTCAGGTAACAATGTAATAATCCGGGCCGAAAATGGTGATTTAGAATTGTACGACATTGAAGCTAATACTACTAAAAGACTTGTTACAAATACATCCGAGGTAAGAATAAGTAAATATACTCGTAAACTGCACGTTATATAGCGAGGGCAGATGACATGTTGTTGAAACTGACCATAAAAAAAAGACAATAACTTACGGATTCAACAAAACTTTTGATGACAAAAATTTCTACAAGATTTTAATTTCTACAAGATTTTAATTTCTCCAAAGTTTCGCAGACAGATTTTTTTTTACCTATAATTATGAGAAAAATATCTAATTTGGCAACGCTGATTATTTGGGTTTATGTATTTCATCTTAGGCCATATCGTTATTTAACATCAGGTGAAACTCTTTCATTATGTTTTTTTTTTCAAACAGATTGAGTTGCATATTTCATGTACACAACATGTGTGTCATGTGTGTGCTTGACTGGTTCTTTTAAAATAATTTGTACTGTATTGTTATAGATTCTACACCGATCTACTAGGAGTCCGTTGCTATCTCCAGATGGTGATGAAGTAGCGATAGCATATGACGTTCAACAGGTAAATCATATTTTTTGTAATATTAGAATCGATACTTAACTAAAACTTGACTAATTCAACGAAAAATAGCAACGATTATCCGCAAACCACTGCAATGAACAACCTTACTCTATTTATGTAACTGGTAATGGCAAACAAGATGATGGCCTTCTAAAGCAAATGACGAGCTATGAGAATTGTTGATGTTCCCAGGTTTATAAACGGTATCATACTTTAAAGTCTTAATATAGATTTCGCCTCTCTCTGCATGTTCTATGTTTGTACAATTGACTGTGCTCAGAAGAATTAACATAAAACCCACGGCTACTTTCTAACATTGTATAATTCACTACCGACAGGTAGTTCACCCCTATACTTTAGGGCCTGAACGGTCGAGTACAGCACGGTTTCAAAGATATTTTCTCCCACAATGGCTCAGAGTTAAGGAATAAGTTTCCTGACATCTCCTAATTTTTATACTCCTAGTTTCATATTTTAGAGTTTTATATCTCATAATCATTAAAATTTATTCTTTTCATAATAATAATGAAATAAATAATATTTATTCCATTGAAAAATAAGAATGATCCGAGTTTACCTATTCAATAGAATAAGAATACATAACGTTGGTCGCTTGTTTTTACAAGTGAAATATCAGTTATTGATACTTTTATCAATAGATATTGTATATACAGGTGATTGTTATATTGTTATCAAGCAATATATTGGATGAATAGTAAGATCAATAGCCACAATTTATATTTAATTTAGAGTTCCATTTATTTCATTCAATATATGGCAAAATTGACAAAAGACGTCAATCAATCTTCATAAAGGACAGCTGTCACAGACGTATTACACTGCGATCGGAGAAAGAGATTGCCATATAATTGCTATGAAAATATGCATTACGAAAAAGCAATAGGATGACGTTATTGAACAAACGAACATATGAAAAATGTACCTTCTTATTCGTGACGTATAATAGTGATATAGCTATTTAATTTGAATATATAATGTAAACAAAGCTAGTATAGCTCTCGATCTCGATTTTTATCAATCTATAATGGATATATATAGAGATACTATATATTACGATATTATATATATATATATATATATATATATATAGTTTTCAATAAAATGATTAATTTGTAACTTTGTAATTGAAATCTTAATTCTTAATTAATTATTAATGTCGGCTTTAGTCACGATTTAAATTCGGGGTTGTCCGACTAGTTTCGAACAAAATAGGAGCTCTTACTCGTATTCTTGAACGCGGTTTACGGCCACACATTATATAATCGCGAGCGACAGTACGCTGGACTATTGTCCAATATACCTATCATGAGTTATACTGTATCCATTATAACTTATCCATTATAGTTATTATCCAATAATATTAAATATTAGATATATAATATAAAATATTAGATTTTTATGTAGATCACACTCGTATTATTTATTTTACACTTTATTGGACCGAGTAAAAAAATAAATGAGTAAATATTAATGACTGAAATAAATATCACTTATACAAAAGGAGAAAAAAAAAATTATTTCAGTTTTGTTTGCAATCTACATAAGACAATATGCTTTTTTTTATAAGGTTCTTTGTTTTTATATATAGTAATGAATATTAAAAATATAAAGAATTAATCTGTGTCTGCCATAAAAGTTATCCGTATCTCAAGGGTTCTTTATAGTATGCGGAAAAAAATATCCACACGGAAAAAACCATTCGGTGAAAAGAAATGTGCAGTGTAAATACTCGTATTATTTTAGTACGTCCTCTGAAATAAAATTGAGGAGAACTACTATGATACTCGTTATCTAATATCATTAATTTATTAGTTGTAATGGATTATAATCTTAGTTAGCGCTTAGTTTTTCATACATGAACAGAGTTGAGAAATTTTCGATATTTTATTATATATTAAATTTGATTTAGATGTCAGGAAGAAATTTTAGTCAAAGGACGATCATTTATGCCATTTCTATTCTTCACAAAACATTTACAGAATGGTAGACAGTCCAGTGTCTCATTATTCACTTTGTGATTTATTTTTATTATTACCATATTCATATTATTTTATAACTGCATGAATTGTATTATTGTGATAAAAAGCGCCAAATGTACTAAAAATATAAATCTTTATTTAGCATTCACAATTTGAAATTGATCTAACTAAAAAACGAAAACAAAAAATAAAAATATATACGAATCATATGATTTTTTTTTTTTACATAAACAGCTATGTGTTTTTATGAAAAGAAACGACTGTGTTTAATTTCTGTTTGTTTATACTTTTAATTTTCAGGTATATAGACATAGTTTCCTGGCGTTGTACTCCTCTATCAACGTTGATAGTCAAACATCCGTTTCCATTGTGCCTCCAGGCTTGTCAACAAGATCAAATGAAGCCTTCCTACAGAACCTTGTATGGGGGCCGTCTGGTACCGCGTTGGCTTTTGTCTATTTAAATAACATCTACTATAAGTCTAACTTGACTAATGAGGCACAACAAATCACAACTTCTGGACAGTTGGACGTTATTTATAATGGCATCCCCGATTGGGTTTATGAAGGTGAGTAACCTTTTTTTTCATCACTCCACGACGACACGTCACCGTGTTGTCAAGCTAGGATACCATTAGAATAAACATGTATTCTACATATAATACCATAAACAACCAAACAATGAATGTTTTTTTTCTATTTAATTTAATCTACTTTCCAAAAATACACATAATATTGTCTGGTATACCAAACTGGAAATCTATAATTGGTTAATGTATGGTGTAAATAAAATATTTTTAATTATTCCAGATGTAAGCTCTTGATTTCAGATGTAATATTAAAATGAAATAAATAAATAAAATTTCTAGTTCCTAACAATATATTCTAACTGCTGGTATCCGGGGGGAAAGGAACTGTTAGCAATTGAGTTTGACAGCCCCATTGCTAGCAATATGCCCTATTATGTCGACCTCCACGTGGTTCCCCCTGGAAACCATCGTGAACAATTCTTGTTGAATTCGTCACGGTGGGCTAACTGACCTGTTTCATCCTCACCTATCATCCTTCACTGGTACCCCGCTGGTGTATACCGATAGCGCGGATGGGGTTACCATTCCATTATCACCCATTAAAAAAACTGCTGGTAATCTTGTTTTCTATCAACTTTATGAGGTTTAACGGTAACATTTTCAGAGGAGGTGTTCTCGTCTAACAACGCGTTGTGGTTCTCGGCTGACGGCACGAAACTGGCGTTTGCAACATTTAACGATACTGAAGTGAGAACTATGAAGGTACCTCGCTATGGTGTGCCCGGCTCTCTTGAGTACCAGTATACGCTACACCATGCTATCCGATATCCCAAGGTACGTACTAAAATATATCTTATATGAACAATTTTTTAAGATTCCACTGCTGTGCACATATTTCTCTTTATAAAGGGGGATATAGTTTACTTTCACCAGGTTATGTGTAAGGCCTGGTACAGAGTTTAATTTTTTTTGTGCTTGTCCTTTGTGTTCTTCGTTGCCTCTTATGACCTCTTAAGACTTACGCTTTGTATATAAACCTTAAAGATAATTTCACCTTTTGTATTCTCAAGATCGATTGGAAGAAATACCTACTATATTTTGTCATTCCTTTTTCTTTTTATGATTTTCTCTTTTTCTAATACGATTAATACATATAATAACGATTAATAAATGTGTAATAAAGCTTATACTCTTGGAAGTCGACCTGACTCGAAATATAGCTAACAATATGAGTCCACTAGTTTTGATTGCTATCTCTTCATCCCATTTTAGAGTCTTTATAAAAGATTAGTAAAATAATACTCATCGTTATATAATAAAGGTGCAATAAAGAGTTAAATAAATAAATAACTATCGTAAGTCATACTGTATTGTAATTACATAATTCGGCTTACGTTTTAAATGCAACTAGTTATGAACTCAATAGAAGCTCTTATTCACGAGCGTGAAGCACTGCGCGTAAAAAATGGTGAAGACATTTCTTTGGAATCCGTATTCTTGTAAGGCACCTCAATAGTTTAAAAGATTTATTTAACAATTAATATTGTTACTTTTCAGCCTGGAACAACCAACCCGACAGTAACAGTCACCATTCAGGATCTTGGGTCCAACACCAATACGGTTTTCTCTGCTCCCAGTGATCTTAACGAGTAAGTATCTATTTAGAAACTTAAAGACTTCGAATTTTAATTATAATATAATAATTATTATTATTATATTATCAGTCGTTAACAGTCCACGGCTGTACACAAGCCTTCCTCTTAAGGAGTGTTTTGCTAGTATTTACTACGCTTGACTTGACTACGCAGATTGGCAACCGCAGTTATCCTTTGGTGAACCATTAAATTCCCTTAATCATCTCTTACAACACCCACGAGAAAGGAAGGGTATAATTATAGTTATGCACAATATATGGTTGTGCTGATTTCTTTAGAATGAAATAGAAGTAAGCTTTATTAAAATGTCACATATAAATACTCTGTTATATATTTAAATCAAATTTTAACATAGAATGGTAATCTCACGTGTACAACTAATGAATTATGCCCATGTAATAACACCGACATTCAGAACATTGAACACCTTCTGAAATACTGTCCCCGTTTCGCCAGTAGCCGTTTAAATCACCAACTAGCGTGCCAACTATTAAACATTTCAGAACCATACTCTCTTCAGCACATAATCAAGAAGGAAAACAGTACTAATTCATTCCAAACACATTTGGTAAATATAATAGATAGCATAAAGGCATTTAATAACACGTAATAATAAACTTATACAAACTATATTTATATATATTTCCCGTGATATTATGTAAGTAAAATGGACCTAAATACATATATATTTATATATATATTTAACTATCACACATAGTGCTTCTAATAAAATGCGCTCAAACTTTATATGCGTTAATATACAAGAGGAAAACCCGATGTAAACCACTAGCATTGGGATTTTCAAATACCTTTATATATATATATATATATATATATATATATATATATATATATATATATATATATATATATATATATATATATATATATATACATGACTTTTATAGATGTTTTGTATTTTGCCTTTCATTATTTAGTATAAATATAACTACTAAACTAATATAATAAATATGTAACTTGACGATGTCCATATGTGGGAGATATTTTAAAAAATATATGAGGTGTTTTAATAAAACCAATGGAATCCACAACAATATGTGTTGGGAATTTTGTATGCCTATCTGTTTATATGTTTTTTTCGGCATTCCGCTAAAACTACTGTATCAAATTAGATCGGGCGTGTTCCTGGAGCTTTAATGCAAAGCCTGGTGTACGTTTTATCTTGATACTCCAACTAGAAGTGATTTATTTGATTCGTTATCCTACTTCTGAAATACACGCATACGAAGTAGTGGGTAAAAAGCTAATGTATTTAAAAATAGATAAATTTAAACGGTCTTTAACCGACTTTAAAAAAGGAGGTTCTCAATTCGGTTGTATTTTTTATGTTTGTTATCTCACAACTATATTAGTTGTAAACCGATTTGGCGAATTCTTTTTTTTATCTGACATACTTACTGATTGGTACCATAGAAATTTTAAAAAAATTAAAAAATCGATTCGAGTAATTTAGTTTTTAAATCGATATAACTAATTTTGTCACAATTGAAGTTAGTTTTTTTTGGTACTCAATCTTCAATTATGTGTAAAATTACAGGCCAATCTTGAAACCAGTAAGTTTCGTGACAAACGACACGATCGCGCTGATATGGACAAATAGAGAGCAGAACAACTTAGTGGTGGAACTATGCACATTCGGGTCGACTTGTACAAGGGTATTTATCATTTTTATAATTACTAGCTATATCTTGCGGCTTCGCCTGTGTGAATCTCTATACAAAGTATCCTATGTATCAAGTTAAGAGGTAAACTTTATGTAATTCGTGTAATGAATTTCATTCAAATCTATTTAATAGTTATTATGTGAAAGAGTAACAAAATAGATATTTGTTTGATCGAACTAACTTTCTCGTTTATAATATTTAAGAATTATGTAAAAAGTTTTACTTAACATATAGAAAAATGACTTAATTAGACAAGAAACATAACGATGCAATAGATTTGTACGAAAAGTATAGTGGAACAGTAAAAAAAGTTTTGAACTAAATTTACACAATCCAAAATTAAAAATAAATAACAATAATTAATAGTAGGAGATAAAAAAAGAACAATAAAGTTAATATTAAAAAAAATGTGATTGTGTGTGTGTGTGTGTGTATGTGTGTATGTGTGTGTGTGAGCGCGCGCGCGTGTGTGTGTGCGTGTGCATGTGTGTGGATTTATGATTAAAAATTATCATTATCATATCAGTAGAAAACTTTCCAATGCTGAACTGCTCTCTCCATAAAGGGGGTTTTGTAATTGCCACAGCAAGCGGGTTGGCAACCGCAGTTAGCCTTTAGTGATGTTTAAACAGGGACGCTCCTGCCCATCCCTGGACTAATAAGTTTCCTTAGTTGCTTCTTACGACATCAGGAAAGTAAGAGATATACGTGTGGTCCTGGCACTTTTACGATATTTATCTATATATCGACGTAAACGTTAATATAATTTTTAAGTCAATTTCTGTACATTTCACACTATGTGTTTATCTGTCAACTTCGCAGTACTAAACACTGTTTGACAAGCGATTTCTTTTTTATAACATGATTCAATTAAATGTTTACAGGTATTTTCTTATAATGAAACAGACGGATGGGTTGATAACATCCCACTGATTTTCAATGAAGCAGGAACGGCCTTCATTACTATTTTGCCACAAGTAAGTAATGAATTCGTAACAGAAAATTATTTACTTTATGTATTATTATTAACATGCCTGTATATGTGTTCTCCTGTTCACGTGAACATTTCCAGAAACCTTTTCACTGTGTTTACTAATATTGTATAGGATATGAAATTTTAATCATTAACATACTTTTAAAAAATCAACAAGTTGTTAAGCAGGACATATTTCTCGATAAAATGTGGATCAAAAAACGACAACAAACTTAGAAACTTCAATAGTTAGAGGTGTCATATTGGTTTAGAAGATACAAAAAAATTTTATATCTCTCTGAGAAAATTTCTTCAATTGTACCAGTATAAAAATATATATATTAATAACTTTGATTCAATCCCTCATAAGAATATCATCCCAGTAAATGTAAGGAGAGAAATTTCGCAAAAAATTACGTTTTTATTTTTATTTATTTTATAACGACTATGGGAGATTGAAGTGAGAGATATTAATTACCCAATTGTGGCACACTGATAGCTCAGGAGAGAACAACTTTGACAGCAATATATATATATATATATATATATATATATATATATATATATATATATATATATATATATATATAAATACATGGGATAAAATTTAAGATCAACGACCAATGGCAACGAGATCATGAAACAGTCTGTTATGTCCATGGTACTGCTCAAATAGGCGACGGTTACCACTTCCCATCAGGTAGGCCGTCAGCTTGTTTGCCATTCTAAGTTGTATAAAAAAAAACTTTCAAATTCATATTTGGGTTATTTAAAAATCATTATTATTTACTTGCTTCGTGCTTTGGAGGTCACGTAATGCCGTTATTGAGTAAGCTACGTAAGAGGTTAACTAAAGAAGGTAACTATATCCCTTTAAGAGGACTCAGATGGGTCTTCCAGGTCAACTTCTTAACCCCCAGGGGATTGTAAGAAATGACATTTTAACAGGCCAATTACTAGCAATAGAATCTAATAGGTCGACCACTATGCAGTTACCCCTGGAAACTGAAAATATTGTGTGCAAGAAAGATGTCTTAAACATTATTGATACCGGAGAAAGTTCTCCTCACACGAGTTGTAGTAGTAGGATATTATAGGTTATGATTGATTGAGTGATAAGATACTTTTATATAATGTAACTCTTCGTATTTTTACTATTGTCATTGATACAAAAGTCGTTTGCTTGATATAACGTGCATTTATGGCTGTGTTTCGTTTGAAGGGTGGGATATGGCAGAATTTAGGAAGGAATAACACCTGAGTCCTCAGGAATGGCAACGATGGGGGGTATCATGAGCGAAACAGCATACTCTGTTATGTCCATGGTACTGCTCGTGTCTATAGGCGACGGTTACCACTTTCCATCAGGTGGGCCGTCAGCTTGTTTTCCATTCTAAGTTCTATAAAAAAATAATTATGCATTGCATATAATTAGTTACGAGAAGTGTCTGTATTCAGTTACATTTTTATCATTCATACGATATAAATTAAAATATAGTTAATTTTATATAAACTTTCAGACCGTCGGAGGTGTCCGTTACAAGCAAATAATTCAAGTGTCCCAAGCAACAGGCGTGTGGTCTTCTCAAAATCGCATTAATACCCAGAACACGGTTCTTGATATACTAAAGTGGACCTCTGATGATGTCATGTAAGTTCTATATTTCTTTTAATTTAGTCAATTTGTCAACCCACAATAGAATAACCTGAAGTACTCGATAAAGTAGGAATGAGGTAAGGACAAGAATATTTTAGTTACCATTTTCTATCTGGTAGTACTTTTACCTGAATGCTTGTAGACTAGGAACTTATACCCGCTTGATATTCAAAATAACTCATGTGGCAACTATACCTACTAACTTGAGTAAGTGTTCATGTATTAAACTGCAAGCAGTCTCCGCAGACCATAGCTGATTGCAAAAATATTTCATTTCTCGCTCAAATACTGAATGCGGAAGTTTTATATTGCAATTTTATCATCATATTTTACCTTTGCCCAATAATGAGACTTCTTATCGGCTTAAAAAAAACTTCATATTTGAAATCTCATATCTTACAGGCAATTTAGTTAATGATAAAATTAAATAGAATAGGCCACCCCTTCCTTTCCTGTAGGCGTCGTAAAAGTCGACTACGAGCGGGCGAGGGATGGACAGCAGCGTCTCATTGCGGTTGTCAATTGTGGTTGCCGACCCCAGCAGTGGACAGTTAACGGCTGAAATAATAATAATAATAAGTATTAAGTGACATCCACCGAAATCATTCCAATGCTTATGTCGGTGGACGGTATTATCCCAACTACTCTGGAACAACATCTCATACGGTTGGGATTCCGAGGCGGTTTACTCCCGGGAAAGATGCAGAAAGCGGTGCTCTTAGATTCTGCCCGCAACTCCCTGGCTGAACCCCGGCCGATAATTATTAAGAGGGGAGATGAGAATTTTTGTAAAGTTTAAAAAATATAAATAAATTAACTTTACAATTCCCTTTTGATAAATATAATATGTCCTGAACTAATTTCAAACTATATACAATTTTCAGTTGGTACAAGGCCACAGCTACAAACGACTCCTCTGAACAGCATATATATAGTGTAAACAGCAGTGGTGCAGTATCCTGCTTTACTTGCAACATTGGTGATGAGAACAGTTGTCGTTACAACGATGCATCCATCAGCGATGGCAACCTGATCACTATCACCTGCGGTGGTCCAAATATACCACAAGTGTTCATATACAATCTTGTAAGTATATTAGTAGCATATGATCCAACTAGGTTTATGATCAAAAAGTGTAGATTTTGTCACAGTGAGGAAGAAACGCCACAGCACTTAATATGTGGCTGTAGCCAACTTATAGATAAACGGTGTACTTTCTTTGAAAAATACACTCTGTATCCTATAATATAGATGAAAAATATCGCTACAAAAAACATATTAAAATTCACTGTTCGTATCCGGTATGGTAGGTCTAGAAACGCTCGAGGTAAAGCGAAAGTGTAATTTGATGGTGCATTATTGTCGGTTGCTCGACGGTGGAATAGACAATCCTGCAACTCTCAGCCGTTGTTCTTTGTATCATCCCTCATGCGATTGCGTGTTGTCGATTACTATCGGCAACGTATACCTGTACTGCTCAGTTTGCTCCCACTTATCCATTCCTATTATTGCTCACCCATTATAATTTAAACAAAATAGATATATATTTTTAAAATGTTGTACAAAATTTTTAAGTTTGAAAATAAACCTATGTATCACGTTTTGGAAGATAAAAAATATGGTGAGTAAAAAAATAAATAAATAAATAAATAAATCATTGACAGAAATTAGCAGCAAACTTTAAAAAAGAGCGAGCACAAAAGATCATAGAAAGTTCGCAGTGTCATAGGTTTTGCTGCCAGAAAAAGTCCGTCTTTCAACAATTATAAAAAGTATATTCCTGGTAATTGTATACATATGATCTGTCACATGGTAAATGGTCACTATAGTCCATGGATGTTTACAAACAGCTGCATATGTGACAGTGTATTCTGGGATGTTCATGGTCTTTCTACTTCTAGTTGTTGTTTAAAAAAATATCAGTAATGCTTTACTTTTACTCGATAAGAATTTTTATTTCTACTTTTGACTTCGTGTGCTCTTTTAATTTGTTCATTTAATTAGATTATTTAAGAGTAAATATCAGTTTATACGCAAGAAAAGAGGCGATGATTGGATTGGCGAGACCTCAGTTAGATAACACTCGACTGTAGTCCGGGTCTCAAGATTCAATCTCAACATGATCACTGACTTTTTAAACTTTAGATTTGGATTATTTAAATATGATTTATCCTTTATATGTCACATATATAGTTTTATTTATTATTATTTTAAGGGTTTTTACCTTCGTAGTAGGTAAATGATATGTTATGGAATTAGATGAAGTATGATATAGTAAATTTTAAAAATGAAAAAAAAAATTAAAAAGTAAACTTTGGCACTCAGTTCTGTAAAGGATCTGTAATTAAGCTAAATCAATAAATATTCAACGTATTTTGTTGCATATTTCAGAACGGTGCATTGGTGCGAACTTGGGCCGACAATAGCCAGTTGACATCACAATTGGCAGACATAAGCAACTTCCCTGTTACTTTCCGTGTATCTGTACCATCTGAATCTGGACTGCCCAATGCCGATGTGCTCATCCAAGCTCCACCTGATTATGCACAGCGAACAAATGTACCGCTGCTGGTTTATGTGTAAGTATTTTTTAAACAACTTTTTGTATAAAATGTAGTAAGACATACATTTGCAATTAAACAGAGAATTGACATTGTTATTAAGAGAGTTTCACCATATCTAAACAAATCTCTTTATGGCAATATAGGGAAGGTCTTGATTAAAAAAAAAAAAACTCGCCTAGTTAAGGAATATCTTTTATTAGATTTTGTTCCGAGATTTCTGCTATATGCTTTTCTAATACAAATACTTTGCTTTTTTCTTTTACAACATGAAAAATGAAAAGAACTCTTGACACATTGTTTAATATTGTTAAAATGGTATTAAGTGCCATTGAGTGAATTTTATAAAAAAGTAATAAAATAAAGTAAAAGCCAAAACTAAAAGGTGAAACAGAATATGGTAAAACTATTAATATCAAATATTTTTAGTTTTTTGATATATTTTATATCTATAAAAGTAGTAGTGTGTAAATTAAAGAAATTTCTGTTGTTGACTAAATCGTGCCAACTTGTTTTAAATCATTTATTCAATATACCATTCTACGCAGAAAAATTCAAAGATAAGTGACTCAGTACCAGTTAAAGTGGCGTTTACCACATTTTGCTGTTCTAGCGTCTATATATTTCCATTAAAGTATTTACGAATGATTTGTCACTGCCAGCTACGGTGGTCCGGACACGGCTCTGGTGACCAAGGAGTGGTTGCTGGACTGGGGCACGTCGCTGGTCAACCGGTGGAACATCGCGGTGGCGCGGATCGACGGCCGCGGCTCGGGGCTGCGCGGCGTGGACAGCGCGTTCGCGGTCAACCGGCGGCTCGGCACCGTCGAGATTGAAGACCAGATCAACGTCACCAGGTATTGGACCTGTAATATCAGAACGAGATTTTACACAAGTCGTTTGCTTGGTACCTCTCACTTCACTTGTTTTTCTGTTTTTTTTTATACAACATAGAATGGCAAACAAGCTGACAGCTCACCTGATGGAAAGTGGTAACCGTCGCCTATAGACAAGAGCAGTATCATGGACATAACAGAGTTTACTGTTTCCCCTACATGCGTTGACATTCCTGAGGACTCAGGTGTTATTCCTCTGTACCCTGTAAATTCGAATTGTAAGGTCGACCTGCTTGGGTATATTACTAGCAATAGGGCTTTTAGTTTACATTACTAACAATTCCTTCCCCCTGATCTGTCAATATTGAATTTATTATTTAAGTTAATATTTGACTACTAATAGTTAGGAACAGTTTATTTCAATACGAGTATATTTGGAGAAAAGAAACAGCCGAAGTGATTCAGCCATTCTCTAGTTTTGCGCTTAGTAAACATTTAATATTTTTTTTTTCATGTCTGATGGTAAACGGTCACTGTAGCCCATGGACGTCTGCAAAACTAGAAGTGTCACGTGTTGCCGACCTTAAAGAAAACTTAATATAACTTTTTTATTTATATAGATGATATATGTACACAGATACCTGCAACAGAGTCTGCCCTGGCTCGACAGCAACCGCACGTGCATATGGGGCTGGTCGTATGGCGGGTACGCGTCGTCGCTGGCGCTCGCTCGCGGCGGCGACGTGTTCCGCTGCGGCATCGCCGTCGCTCCCGTCGTCGACTGGCGATTCTACGGTTCGTGTCGCTTTAGTTTCTTATATTAATAAATAATAATCAATAATTATATGTTTACATTCTAGAATTATGTATTACATTGAATGAATTAAAGTACTGTCTAGCCATGTGGTTCTCTATAGAATAGGCCAGCAATTCCTATTTCGTGGGTGTCGTAAGAGGCGACTAGGGGAGGGCATGGGATGGGCAGTAGCGCCCCTCTTAAAACTTTTCTAAAGTCTGACTGCAGTTGCCAATCCGCCTGCCAAGCATGGCAACTACTGGCAAAAGTTTCCAAGGGGGAGGGGGGGGGGGCTTATGTTCAGCAGTAGACAGTTAAAAGTTTTACAATAACTAATTATTTCTAAATTTGCTTACAGATACCATTTATACGGAGCGATATATGGACACTCCTGCTAACAATCCACAGGGCTATTTTGAGTCGTCGCTTCTTACAGAGGAAGCTGTAAGTTTAACAAATTATAATTAAACTTAAAATTTCCTATTGTTTACTAATATTTTAAATACACTATCAGAATTTAACGCGATCAACAATTTTTGTAGTTTCAATCATCTATAAATATAAACAGTACCGTAAATGTCATAGAATACGCTGTAATGTCCATGGCATATCTAATGTGTATTCCTAAGTACCATAGTGTTATGCCTCCATGACCTGTCTTTTCACTGCCATAGCACCCTTCAAGCTGAAACAATGTTCAATTGATACAGCAGAAGTACGAGTCATCTCTGACATGGAAATAAAAAGCAGTGATGACATTTTGTATTTTTACTCCGCCATCATATAGACGAGACCTTTGTAAAATCCCATGTTGTGATCATGTATATAGGTATATGTTATGATCTTGATGGATGCGAGTTCGATACCCTCTTAAACAATCATTTATATTTGTGATTATGCTGGTTTTTAACTGATTGGGTGTGTTTTATCTAATTATTAAAAAAAAAAATTCAGTTGTCTATTAATTTGGGGCTACATGCGTAGTATGCTGTTGTCCAGTAAGAAAAACATTATGTATTTTTTTGTACAAACTTCTTTAGTATAATAACGTCGCAATCATCTGTCAATTTTTCTTTTTATTTTATATAATTTTTTTTATTGAAAAAAAACCACAATAGTTAAAAAGAATTCATAATAAGAAAAATCAGTAAAGGCAAAAATAATTAAAACAACTATATTTAAACACAAATAAACATATTTCAAACTTTTTGATTAATTATTAAAAAAGTGATTTATGTTTATGGACACATATGTCCATGGTACTGCTCATGTCTATAGGCGACCGTTATCACTTTCCATCAGGTGGGCCGTCAGCTTGTTTGCCATTCTAAGTTTTGTGCTATTTTGATTAGTATTGACAAAAACTATAACCTTGTATGGTATGTTCAGAATTTGACAATAAATTCTGAAGGCTATAAAAACTTTATTTCAAATGTAGATTTGTTTAATTTTAAATGTATCTCTTTTATAGTTGGAGTCGTTCCGCGGTAAACGTTACTTCCTGGTGCACGGGACGGCGGACGATAACGTTCACTATCAACACGCCATGCTGCTCTCGCGCCATCTGCAGAGGCGAGATATATACTTCGAGCAAATGGTCAGTTTATAGTTTCACATTAGCTATTTCCTAATTACAGAACAATAGCTTTGCACACAGTATATAGTATCTTATATGTTCAAACGAAGTTCTTTAACCAGTGCGTGTTGCCAATGATGACTAATGGAACCGAAACATGGTCCTACACGAGGCACCAGAGGGAGACTTTGTACAAAAGTCGATTGCTTGGGAACCTCTGTCCCATTCGTGTTTCTACCGTGAAGTAGTTGTGTTTGCATGGCTGTGTTTCGGTTTGAATGGCAATGCATGGGGAGTATCATGGGCGTAACAGTATACTCTGTTATGTCCGTGGTACTGCTCATGTCTATAGGCGACGGTTACCACTTTCCATCAGGTGGGCCGTCAGCTTGTTTGCCATTCTAAGTTGTATAAAAAAAAACAGTATTTAAGGCATCCCGTCCTCGCTATTGGATACGGGTGATGGGATACCTATAATAGTGGTGTCTTAATTAGAAATTTAAGTCATTATTAAAAAATCGCCCCCACCTCACATTGGAATGAACACAAACGATAGCAAAAAGAATATCATTATAGGTTCTTTTGGAAGCTGCATAAAAATGATCAAATATAGGACTGGTCCTAGGCATAGGAGCAAGGTTTTTCAATAAAAAAAAGGAATAACTAAAATCAGTTTAGAATTCGCATTCGCTCGATATAACAATCGATAAATGCCTCTGAATACCACACAAGATATTACAGTTATGAGCATATTTAATTTTAATATTTTATTTATTTATTACAGAGTTATACCGATGAAGGGCACGGTTTAATCGGAGTACGGCCACATTTGTATCACGCATTCGAGAGGTTCCTGCGTGAAAATTTGTTGTAATATATTGTATTTTTAAGGATGGGTAATATTTATCAATATCTATATATTGCGGTTACAATATTGATACATATATTGACCCAATAACCGATATTTTAGATATCGGTTATGTAATAATATCGAAAAAAAGAACCCGCTCGTAATGAATATAGGTTCTTGATTGGTATGACCGGTATCGTAATGGGTGGTCATCAAAGTCCAGAAGATCAATATATAGATATCAGATATTACCCATCTCTATGTATTATAGATAAATTATTTATTGACCGACAATTTGAAAAAAAATTGCCCACGTTTCATTAGAAAATTGAGTATTAAAATGTTTTAAAATTTATATTGGAATGTTCCTAAAATAATTCACGTGACAATGAACATTGATATAAAAAAAAAAAAAAACTAAGATGTAGTCACTGTAGACTATCTTATCTTATATTCGCATATTGGGTCAGCTAAGCTATTGCACGTCGACCCATCGGGATCTTTTGTGTTTCCCCCTGCCTTATACCATCATTTCATAGATCCTTTGTGTTACCTAAACGATATCCTGCGGTTTAAGATATCTGTAGTCCCCTGGCTTTGGATAAGCCGTTCTCAGTAGCCTCATGCGCATGCTCGCTAACGAATCACAGTTGCACATCAAGTGTTCCATGGATTCCGATTTCTCCCCGGATGGGTCTGTCCGAAGATAGACCCATCTTGTGTAGTATATGCCTTATTGGCATATGACCAGTTAAGGCACCCATAATGAGTCTTGCCTGTTGTCTGCCACCGCTGTAGATGAGTTTATCCCATCCTTCAACATTGTCATTTAAGAACTTTTTAGAATGTTTAAGACCATGCAAATTCCTCCATTCTTTTTGCTGTTTTTTCCTCAAGGGCAAAGTTAATAACACTTGATGCAAGTGCAACAAATGGTTCGGGACCTATCATTTTTGATTCTGATTACTTTCTCGCCACTGTAGACTAAAAGCGTCAGTGAAAATTAATGCAATCGAATAAATAATGCACTTATTTGTAATCAGTTAGTTTCGTTTAATTGAGTAATAATAAAATTTGTCAACAATTGACTACCTTTGTAACGCAGTAGTGAGCACATTACTTTTAGTAAAAGAGGTCCCGGGTTCAATTTCTGGTTAGTCCAATTTAGGAAATAAACTTTTTCGAATTAGCTCGTGTCTGGGTGTTGTGGTTTGTGCTCCCAGAAGTTTTTTGCTTGGTTTCTTATAAGAGACACTATCCTAGCTATTTTAACTCTTGATGGTTTGATTATGTAGTACTTACGTATTATACGTCTGACCAGAATCGTAAACTTCTATACGAGATTAATTTTTTTTTTTATATCAATGTTTACGAAATTTCATTTGACTCGTGACAAGTCATCTTTTTATATCATTAAATAAATCATATTCCTCAGGCGCTTTAAAAACTACAGAAATATTGTTTTTTTTTCTTCAATATTTGTATTGAAAACTAATTTCTTAATCAAATATCGGTAGTATTTTTTACGTATCAGATATCAAAGTTTTATTTTTCAAGTACTTACTAGGGGAGGTGATTCAAATTAATTCTTTTAAAAAGATGTACCGAAGCTTATAATACATTCTACATCTACTTAGATGAGCAAGAATAAAGATGCCAGTTAGATTTTTTGCTCAATTGTTATTATTATTTTTAGACTATGCATAATAATAAACGGACTGGGTAGAACTGACACTCATATGTTTTCCTCTAAAGAACCCTTTTCCCCTATCATCATCATATCGGCCCTTAATCGTCCACTGCTTAACATAAGCCTCCCCCTTGGGATGTTTTGTCAGTAGTTGCCACACTTGGCAGGCAGATTGGCAATCGCGGTCAGGCTTTAGAGATGTTTTAAGAGAGACGCTGTTGCCCATCCCTCGCTTTTCCTTAGTCATTTTTTATGACACTTATGGGAAAGGAAGGGGTGGTCTATTTTATGCTGGAACCACACAGCCACACTATTACTCGATTTAAAACATATTTTATAATATGACGTGACTGAGAGTGAACGACCCAAATTCTCGCTTTGATATCTTTTGTTTGCTAGCCCTGACTTAATAGGACACGAATTGGACGCGAATCGTCAGCGCGCCAACGTAGTTATTAATATTGAATTCACGCTAGTGTCAGTTCTACCTGGACATTTATTCGTATGTCGTTTGAGTACCTATGTAAATAAAACATTTTTGTATTGAATATATCAAATAATAGTATTATTTATATAGTATAATAGTATTCAAAGTGTTTCAAGGCTTCACGTTACCTGTTTAATGCAATAAATAGTTATTAAATTCAAATTAATTATACAGGGTGTAATGGAAAACAGTTTTTAAAATTCCGCAGTTTAAACCTAGCACAATAGAAACTAAAATAATATATTTACAGTACAGCGCAAAAAACATGTCAGAAAACTGTCAGTCAACTGTTGATTGACATATATTTTTTTTTTAAACAAAATGCACCTATTATTTTTACAATTCATAATTGTAATATTTCTGTGTATCTAATCATGCACACACAGATGAATCGTAAGTACAGCCAGTGACGGAGTTAGCTGTTTTTAGCGTAGTGTTTCTTGTAGTCTGTCTATATATGTGTTATTTATGTGTAAGTATTATAGTATATTTACAAAAATATATGTATGTACGTGTATCAGTCGTTCTCTAGTCTGAAACTAGATGCTGTTTATTATTTAAAATATATATAATATAATACTGTACTAGTATTATTTATAATAGAGATATAGGCGTACCTATTTGGAAATCTAAATAATTTTCTCCAAGGGACATGGGCCGAAATAATTTCAATCATATTATGAAAGCAATTTTTGAACCTTTTACAGTAAATTGATCACGTGATCGCGCATCTTATATTATTGTCGCCGTTTACTTCTTAAATTTTCATGTTTGGGAAAGATGTATACAGTAACAATTTAGTATTTATTTTTCTTTTACATTCCGTTACACCCTGTATATGTAAGAATAGTGTAAATAGTATAAATTCATTTTTAAGAATAATTATTCATTTTGACGTAATAGAGTATTTTATGACAATTTTTACCAAGTGTTGCCAAATCTAATCTAAATCAGTATAACAGGGTTGCGAATTTTAATTCTTATGTTATTATGTATTACCGAAATATACTTAGGTATTATGCAATTTACAATTTGTTTCTATGTAAATATTTTATGTACTCAAAGTACAAAGTCCTAATAAATGTGTTTTCTATATTTTTTGTTTTATTTACTGCAAGACAAACTTACAGCTTCTTATAGGTATTTTTAATGCGATAGAAATGAGGCTATAAAGCTTTTCTCTGTGAATAATGATAAGCACGAGACAAGTTACGAATCTACTTTCATATATATAAATTTATAACTTATTACTACTATGACACCCTCTGTCTAACACGTAAAGCGCTTGACATGAAAATAAATATAAACGAAATCACGGACACATCTAGTATTAACTTTCTCAGAGATCACAGTCTGTGATAAATGACAAAAATAAATTTTACATTTCGACATGTAAAACTGATCAATTTCACAAACCCATGTATAGGTTTAAAAGGCGTATTCTAGATCTTTCTTGAGATTATATCAAAATTAAATTAAAAATAATAAGAAAATTCAGAAGTTGTTCTTCGATAATACATAGAAAGCGGTGTTTCATTTATTAATCATAATATTTTAAATGCGCACTTAACATTGTTCTTTCATTTGGGATCGATTTTCAAACATGGTTTTAAATAAATGCTACCACTTGATATAATCACTCACTACTTCCTATGCCACTGCGTTAGGTTGACTGGAAGAAATCTCTTTTAGAGATAAGTTCGCCTTTGCTAATATTGTTATTAACTTATTGTTGTTTCTGTATGTTTTAGTGCAATAAAGAATATATAATAATAATTTCAGACTCTTTACATATCTACTCGCATATATTTTTCTAAGTCAAAAGATGGCCATAAATTCACAAGTATCTATAATTCTAGACATACGTATATAAGATATGGTTTTCCTTTTCCTGTCGTGCAACAAGGAAGCAATACAATTTGCATAAAATTCCTATTCGGTAGGTTCCATGTGCAACAGAATAGAAACGGAGATAAGTCGGCTCATATGCATATGAGACGTCTGTATTTATGGCTTTTACGTACCGGAGTGTTTGGAATACGTATCTATGTAACCACGTGTAGCACTCTGAACTATATTTCTTGATATGATCATTTACCGGCATTTCCATTATCTATCTTGCAATATATTAATGTCGAATTGTAATTGCTACTATTATGTCTATTTTGATAGTGTTATATGGACTAGTAGATTATTATTTGACTCATAGACTTAGCATAACGTATTATATACTTTATAATCAAAGGATTGACTCTTAAATATAACCTCTATTGAAGAGTCAACAATTTGTAGATAAATATGTTGTTGTAAGAATAAGGATTTATTTTTATGACGCTAAATAACGAAACTCTATTGAATGAAAAATCTCGTGTATTATATATCGTATAGTACAAGACTTTGGGGGGAAAAGGGATTGTTAGTAATGGAGATTAAGAATCCCATTGCTAGCAATATATCCAACCAGGTCGACCTCCTCGCGGTTCCCCCTGGAAACTATCATGGTTAATTCCTGATGAATTCATCATGATGGGCTAACTGGCCTGTTTTCAACCTCATTGATCACCCTTCACTGGTGCCCCGCCAGCGTATCCCATTAGCACAGGCGGGGTTACCACTCCGTTTTCATCCAATAAAAAAAAAGTACAAGACTTTGGTTGATTTACCTTATTATCCATATATATGTAAATATATCACAATATATACTTTGAATAGTGAAATAATATGCTTATATTTAGGAGAAAATCGATAGAAGCAATTTATATTGAGCTATGTTTTTTTTCATAAAGGACAAATGAGTATACAACTCACTTGATCGTAAGTGATTACTGCCGGCTATAGGCACTCGCAACATCAGAGAAATTGTAGATGTATTACCGATCTTTTATGAAAATATATGCTTTTTTCTTAAAATTTTCAACGTAGTATCTGTTCGGAAATACTGCTGCTGGGGTTTGGTTCCAATATTTGGATTTGTGTGAAAGAAAATGTTTATAGAAACGCATGGTGGAAGACCACCGCTCATCCAGAAGATCGGGATGAAATTGAAGTTTGTTGCAGGTTGGACGGTGTTGCTATAAATAAATAAATAATTATTATTATTATGTACTCTGGTATTTAACGTTAAAATTCTTAGCTCTAACACATGGTCTCCTAAACACAGACAGTCAAAGCTACTAGTCAACATTGCTTGAGATTTACGGAATGTCGCATAAGTATGTTCAAAGGATTAACATAACGCTGCTACGAAGTAATGCAGTCACTATTCGAGGAATTATTATATAACTGATTAATAAAATAAATAGAACTTATTTAAAAAAAATATTTAAAATTGAATTGAATTGAAAATCAATAACAAAAGCAATTTGGTTCTTAAATCAAACATTAACGAAGCCTGACTACTGCTGCTAACTTGACTGACAAGCGTGATCTTATGGGGGAGGCTATGTTTAGCAACAGTTAGTTAACGGCTGATATAAAAAAATTGTTCGTAGATTTTTATATTTATAAATTACCATTATTAACTTATGCAGATATATATAATCAGTTTGGTATAATATAAAAAATATGTTAAACTAGCTGTATCCTGCGGCTTCGCCTATGATCGTATTGATTATTCTATAACCTTTTTTATTAAATGAGCTATCAAATGCAAAAAAAATATTAATTCAACTGGTAGTCTAGAAATAAAGGCATTTAAACAAACAAATAAACAAACAATCTCTTTCGTTTTATTATATTAATATAAATATATAAATAAATAAATAGTATCCTAATGTAAGTAACATTAGGATTTTATTTTCTATAAGAGCATTTCTGGGTCCAATTGGGCGAGACGTTAAACCAGTAAGTAGTAAAGATTGACGCTTCTAATTACGGCCAATTTACAGAGGAACCCTTGCTATCTAGCCTCGTAATTTACGAAACGAATGCGGAAAATTGGAGGTTCAAATTTAGGTTAATTTGAATATCAAACAGTAATTACTGTTTAAATTGATAAATGACTTCTTTTATTTATATACTCTGTTTAGAAACAAACATAACAACGTGTAATAGTATACATATATGGTAGTTACATGTATTTTTGTTACTGTATGTGTATATTTTTAAAATGATATTATAATTATGAAAGATTTGATAATGGAAATATGTAATGGAAAAAAATAAAAAAAAATATTATTTCCTTTATATAAAGCTATGTTTTCAGCGAATAACATATTATTATATTATTATATCAGAGTTAACTGCTGAAAATAGGTATAAAAATCACAAAACTCCCCATAAGGGAAGTTTTGCCAGTAGTTGCCACGTTTGGCAGGCGGCTGCCCATCGCATTTCCTTAATCGCCTCTTACGACACCCATGGGAAAGAAAGAGGTAGCCCATTCTATGCTAGGACTACACGGTACAATAGGAGTAATATAGGCTCTATTTTAGTTTCTGACGTCGCGTCTTGAACACCTATATATAAGTCATTTTTTATATATAATACAATATCGCCTCTCTGGCACTATGTACGAGTATCATGTATCTATTTGAGTTCGTACAAAACCAAAAGGCTTATATCTCTCCCCACCAAAGGACCTTTAATACAATAAAGATATTATTATGGTATATTAACTCTGTTTTAGACTTTAATTTGTTCTACTGTAAATTGACTCTGCACACAAATTAATCATAATAATTTACTGGATTAACTCATAAGATCATTTCAGACGATCGAAATTCTGACAAAGCCGCAGGACAAAGATATTTTTTTATAATTTGACATATGGTAATCCACACACTAATACATAATTATTAAATAAATTCATTGGCTATGAATTGTAATAGAAAATTAGCATAATAACACCAATTCAATTGTACTTAAATATGACAATTTTTTTTTTAATTATCACACATACAGATCTTCAAAGTGACTGTTTAAATCATAAAAGTCTATGAATCTTATTATTTATAACACAGGGAGCAAATAAGTACGAGGTAAGTATCTACCATATCTATCGCCACCTATGAGCATCCGTAACACCAACTTAAATACGACAATTTTTTTTAAACAATTATCACACATACAGATAATCAAAGTAACTATTTTAGACGCTAAGCTCTGTTTTATTTATAAATCTAACTAGTCTAGTACGAATATCCGATGTTAGTCTGCGCAATTTCTACACAATATCCGATGTTTGCTTGAATAGTAGGTAATCGAGTTTATAGTAAATATCCTGTAGGAAGTTTAACGATCGCTTGAGAGCATCCATCTATCTATTAAGATATGGAAATACTTTTATACCATACCAGCACTTAAATATTCACTGTTGAGCATAAGCCTCTCAATTGGGGGTTTTGCCAATAGTTGCCACGGTTGGCAAGTGGATTAACAACTGCAGTTAGGATTTAGTGGTGTCTGATGTTTTAAGAGGTATGCTGCATCCCATCTCTCAATTATTACGTTCTCTTAGTCGCCTCTTACGACACGCATGGGAAAAGAAAGGGTGGTCCATTCTATGTTAGAACCACATGACCAATTATAGATTTGATTGATTGTTGGAATCCAGAGTTATCTAAAAATTTTCCATGGTTCTAGTTAAACCTTAAGTTATTTATTGAATTAATTTACTGAAACTATTATTGTTTTCTATCTTAAAAAAAATCCAAAGTTTTTGAGAGTTTACAAAGATTATTAGTGTTTACTGGAGATTTATCCCGCGTGACCGGAATTGATTGACCGGCCTAATAATAATCTATGTCTTCTCTCCCTTTATTCAAAATAAAACCTACTACAAATCAAATTTAACTATTACAGTATTTTATCACTTACTTTCAAATTGGAAATTTAGCTCAAAAAAGGAGACAAAAAAGTTCAATAGCTAAAATAGGGGCATTTGACGTTTTTTTTTAATAAGAGCGTGTGTGCATAGCAAAATTACAAGGCGATCGTTTAATTTGTTAGAGTATTAAGAGGTAAGAAACGAACATGCAAATCATTCCATTTTTCCATTTATAATGTTAACAAGGTTTATGCAATTCACAAACAAATATTTCGTATTATTAGATGTACAGATTGTTTTGATGTATTGTAATTTTTTCCTCTTTGCT